ATCCTCACACTGAAAAACACAAACTTTTTTTAAATCTCTGAACAATTTACTTGCATAAAGACGTCGCAAAGTCTGCAACCGGTACAAGTCAAGCTTTTACTCAAAAATAAGGTAGAGTGCTCACGCAGAAGTTCAATAAGTGCAACATAGAAAAAAAACTGATGCGTACTCGTGTCTGATTCCTTTCATACAGAACTTCTGTAAGGTCATGTTCAGAGCTTATTCACGATTAACATTGTTAGCAATCATGAGATCAATGAGAAAGAGGGCAAAATAGACGGACAAACAAAATCATCTCAAAATCTAGAAGAGAAAAAAATCGGGAAAAAGTATCGAACAACATCTAAGATGATGAAAAATTAAATGATTTACAAAAATAGATTGGATTCCAAAGCTCACATTGATATGAAAGATATTCGAGAATAAGAAGATCGATCTGGCTGAATATTTCGAAGAGTTTTCGTAGTTGGTTGCTCAGAAACATTGAGATGTTCTATTGTGTTGTTCAATATACTATATTGCTCTCATGTGTTGAATAGACTAATCACTAATGGCTGGATTTCATGGTTAGTTTCTTTGTCGATTCCCAGATTTTGAGATTACACCGGAGAGACCACCGAAATAGCTCAAGACACTACATAGATTTCACAAGGATCACATTCTTACGACTTTTTTCAACTAGTTAGAATCAAAACTATAACTCATCTATCAACACTCTAGTGCAGAGATTTTCATTCATAACAAAAGAATAATCTATCGTTTATGTATGACATAATGCGAACATGGCAGCTGTCTTTCTCTGGATGTGAGTATGGGCATATGATATACATGGCACTTATAGTGAACACAACTGCCCACACCCTGATACAGATGTCACGATCAAATGAGAACCTCGCAGCAGATTGTAATATACAAGTTACGTTTGTGCACCTGTAAGATACAACATGTATGTTGTTGGTACACATTGTATATGTATTTTTTTTGTTATTCCACACACCGTGTAATGTGTATATACAAGATCACAGTGGAGATTTCATTTTATTAAAAGAGTTATCACTTCTCAGCCTTTTCGACTAAAAGAAAAATGTAGTATTTGTTCTTGTTGGTTTGAAAGCTGATACTGGTTCCATTGAAGTCAGACTCTGTCAAGCGAATTTTTGGATATCAGCCGTAATCATCCGAATTCACTCAATCCTGTACCACAGATAGTTTCGACACAGCAGTACATTCGAGTTCAGTCCACTCTTGTTGCTTTAAGGAAACGTAAATCAAAATATCACTCAAAAACAAAACAAACGTTTTCTTTAGTTGAGCTTACTGGTGAAACGAGCTAGGAGCTACAAATCTAAATATGTAAGTAAAAACAAATCTGAAAAACAATTATTTATAGTCATTGATTGGATATTACTACTTGTATTTCGATATCAACTATAGCATACTGTTGTTCAGTTTAAAGATATGTCAGTAGATATTACAGTTTAATTACTATCAATAATTCATTACAATATGATGACGAAAAGAACATGACTAATAAAAGTACAACTAAATTACTACATCAAAAGACTATCATCACAAACATGAACTCAATCGAGAAAAATCTGGGAGACTATGTTAAACGATAAACAATCGAACAGAACTATTATTTTCAATCAGAGTATAATATTTCAGTTCTGTTATAATACACGAAATATTTTTATACGGATTCGTTTTTGTGAGAGATATTTGAGTTTTCACTATCTGCTTCATTTTGGTTTTTACTATCATGTTCCATTTTATCACATACGTACATTTAGCTGTAAATTAAATTTTTCGATTAAAAATAAATACTTGAAAAACAATTGCATACTTTTTCTTTTCGACAGTCTGGAGCATATATATTTTAAAAAATTTCAATTTTTATTTGTGTTCTTCTTTAATAGTTCTACCTACACATGCGACAATTCAATTGATGTTCTTATCGATTATAGCTTATTTTTAAATAGAGTCATATCTTCAAAGTCAATCAGTGGAATAGAGAAAAAACTACAATTCATTTGTCAATTAAAATTTAAATAGGGCCTAAGTTTGAATTACTTGGCTCTTTTTTCAATTGCGAATCGTTACAGAAAATATGGCCGATTTTATTCTCACATTTTATATTATTTGAATCTTTGTTTTCTTTTTTATCTACCCGACATAAGATGATCACAAATATCTTTATAGAATGATACTGAACAAACAGACATAGAAAATATTAGAAAGATATTCATTAAAGAATTGTAAGAATTGAAAAAATGTTAGCAATAAAATCGAAATGAAACATCATCAAATAACTATGAATGAATTCACAGTATTTATTTATAAGCTTTTGTAATGATATATGTATGGCATGGAAAACAACAATGATATGAGAAATATTTCTTTCATCACTAATGAAATCTTTTCATCTGCAATTTTGCAAATGTTACAAAACTAACTGTCTAGATCTCAACATGGTTTTTCTCTCATTGTTCCAATGATACAAACTTTTTCCATATTTTTAAGAATTTCTACTATTTCAAAACAGACCAGTTTATTTTATGAATTTATTGAACACTACAAAAAAATTCCTTTTTTTACTCGATTGACTATGGATTAAATAATTTTACACATGTTTGATTATTGTTTGTTTGATACATTCATATGTAATCATGAATGACAAAGTAATGGCATAAAATATCAATCCCTATTTCTCCTCGATAAAAGAGCGTTGAAAGAACACTTGCTTTTTTTACCAAACGATAGAGCCTTTTCTCCACTTTCAAATCGTAGACAATCTATTTGTTTAACACGTTCATAAACGAAACAATACAACAGAAAAAAGAAGCACTCTTAAAAGAGTCCGTATCTTGGCTTGAGATTGAGAAAAACGGCGGGAAAATGTTGATCCCTATGTCTTTGGTAATTCTTCAATAAACAAACACGTTCCGAAAAGAATAATTTTTTTTATAAGTTGGTTGGAAGTTTTCTCCTCTATCAAACAGTGTATGATTTATGTTTGTCACACATTCGTCAATGAAATGACATGAGAGAAGAAAAGAAACACGATAACGCCATAAATTATCTAATTTTTTCTATGAACTAGTCAAAAAATTTCTTGCTAGACTAAAAGTCATTCAATTTTTTGTGAACTCATTATAAATATCTTGTAAAATGACAGTTAATTATGATTAATTATCATCTACAAGATATCTCTGACGAAATCATATAAAAAATTCAAAATTTTTTTGGTAGTGTTTCTCGTTTCGTTTCATTCATCCATATGTGAAAAGTATGAATCATATACTGTTCGAAAAAAGAGAAAATTTGCTATCAACTGATTAAAAAAAGTCTTCTTTTCAGAACCTATTTATCGAAGTAATATAAGTATCGACATTTCGTGCGATCCTTGTACAGAAACAGTGAGGATTTTTCTTTGAGGTGCTTCCCTTTTCTGTTGTATCGTTTCATCTAGGAACGAATTAGAAAAATAAGTTATATATAATTCAAAACAAGAGAAAAAGCTCTATCGTTTAATAAAAAAACATTTCTTTTAACATTCTTTTATCGAAGAGAAAGATGAATAGATATTTTCTACCACTACCCTTTGCATTGTTCGTCACTCTTATTCAGACTGAAATCAATAGCATTCAATCAATGTACTCGAATTACTCTCATCATTGCTGATGATGATCGTTCTGGTTCTGAATGAAAGCATGATTTGATCATACCTCGCTTCTAACGTTCTAGTGTTCAACAATCTGTATTAGATATTCTAGCCACTTTTTCTAAAACTTTCAAAAATTTTCTCATTTTTCAAAGTTGAAATACGGTGAGATCTATGCGCTTTTATACTTCTTCACAGACATCATACGCTATTGAAAACAATGAAATATCTTCATCAGAATAATATTAAAATTGAAAAATTTTAATCTTTTTCACCGTTCCAAATCTTTCTTCTCGTCTATCAAAAGAAAAGCGTAGGATCATGATAGAACATTTTTTTCTCAAATAGCCAAATATCTCTCTGACTGGCAGGTATCAGTTGTTTCAGTATTCGAATTCCTATCTATTTTGGATATATTGTTCCCTATTTTCTACAGCTAATCTCCTGCCGAAGTGTGATTTTTTTACTATCGTACATGATTCAATGGTTTTTTTTCTTCCAATCATTTACTTAATAAAGTATGTTGTAAAAATGTTAATTTTAAATATATTACTGACAGTCTCTTAGCATCGCATACGCGACTTTTTTCATCAAACAAAAAAAAAACTTCATACCACTCAACCACACGTTAGTCGCTTTCAAATTACCAGGTTTCATCAAACAAGTACGACCATAAACATTTATATTTGACGAAACTTCGATCACAGAAAGTGCAAGGAGATTGGGATACTCGAGAGCAAGAATTGGTTGCTTACGACCACGTGTTAATCTAAGGCATAACGCTCTGTCATCACACATAGGGTGACAATCATTAGTATTTTTATTTTTGAAGGGTGTTGCTCTGGCAGGCTAGTGTTGCCAACAGCCCGCACGTTTTCGTCATCGGAACATGTATTTGATTAGGGTGTGGGGTGGGGGTGTGTGGAGTGTGTGAATGTGGCAGTAGGTGGGTGTGAAATGTGACTGGAATAAGAATCCTCATCCACATCCCACACTGACACCCCAAGAAAAGGATTAGATCTAAAAGTTGTTTTTTTAAATCCCATTGAATAGGACAGAAGAAACTAACTGCCTGTGCACAATAATTTTTTCGTTGAATTAGTGCTTATCTAGCGCGCTGTTAGAAATATGTTCTAGCTGAACATCTGCTAAATTCATTATTGTATTTTATTTTATTACTAGTGACCTCTATTATTTTAAACAAAAAAAAACAAGACTTCCATTTTCTTTCTCATCAACCCTCCTTCCAAACATTCAAAATCTCTTCTATCATTCATTCATTTTGGTTCATATACAATTCATAGAATAGATATTATCTCAAAAAATACCCACACTTATGTCTAAAATCTGTGAACATCCATTATGTGCTCGTTTAATATCAGCAACATGTTCAAATCATTGTCAATTAGATTTATGTCAAGAACATACAATTGAACATAAAGATTTATTTCTTGCTCAATATGAAAAATCTTTTAATAAACTTACTCAATCATTAAATGAAATAACTAATTCAATTGAAGAATCTAAAATAAATTTTAATAATAATTATCAAAAAGATATTTTTCTTGTCAATGAAAATCACAAAAATAAATTGAATGAACTCGAACAAGAATTTCTATTTGTTATTTCAACACAAAAATTAATAAAACAAAAACTTCAACTTTTAAATGATGTTAAAAATGGTCAAGCTTTTCTATATCAATATGATATTGAACAAATTAAATTATATGTAGCAAATATTCATGAATATCATCACGATAAAATCACAATAAATAAGTAATAGATCTATAAAACTTTTATTATTTGATTTAACGTTCTTTTCTAGTAATAAAAATGACATTGAAACATCTTCTTCGATTAATTCTGACATCGATGCAAATGTTGATTATTCTCATAAATTAAATACTAATATAAAATATAATAATCTTAGACATTTTTATGCTCCATGTCCTTTAACTCGTCTTGGCATATATGGTTTGACCGCTAAACATAAATTACGTTTATGTTCATCAACGAGAAAAACATCTGATATTTGTTTATTAAAACATTTTAATCATTATCATCATTTAACATGGACATTATCATCGACATTAACAAAAGCTATAATTAATAAATTAGATCCTTTAACAACATGTATTTTTCAATCTGATTTACGTATTATTGATCAGTATTTTCGTCGTATTCAATGTCCATTAAATAAAATAAAGTCTTCTAATTGTAGAAGACAAATTTTTATAGGTTCATTAAAAAAACATTTATTAAAAATTCATCATTTAAAATTAAAAACATGTAATAAAATTACTGAAACAATTAAAAGTAAAAAAGGATTAATTAATATTGATTTTAATGATGATGATTTTAAATTCAACGGCTAAAATTAATTTATGTAAAATACTATTTCAATTTAATTAATATTAGAAAATTAAAACTGAAATCGAACGCTGCTTTTTTTTCTCTCAACTGATAATTTCTTGTTTCTGTTAAAAAACAATAGAAAATTTGATTATTTTCTATTAAGAAAAATCTTTAGAAAGAATGTTTTGAAATTATGATGAATAATACTATTATTTAATTGTTTATATTATTATTTAAAAACATCCAAAAATAGTTAGAACACCTATCTCTTCTCATAAAGTCAGAAGAACATTGAGAAACTTTGTTAAATTTCATTATTTTTGAAAATTATTACGATTCAATTCGATGCGTTCGCAACAAAATCTATCATAAATAGAGATTTTCGACAAGTTTTTATGGAGATTTTCTATGTCGAAGAGCGTACTTGAAATTTCACAGAGACTAGTAGATACTATCGCATTGGATTAATTCGTTTTCTAGGGAAGTGTCATTCTTCCGATTATCATGTTAGATAAAACACTGTAGTCCACAATCGACTTTTCTTTCAAATCACTTGAATAGATTCTAATCAAGGCCAATCGTCAATGTCAGAAATGTTTAAAACAACATAGAGAAACTTCGTCTATTATCAAAACCTCACATGGGCAAGATTATTAGATTATAGTTAATCGATTCACAATCAACTAGGAAAATACTTAAAACAACATTGTTTCAGCAGTAACTATTCCTAACTATCAAGTGCTATTTGATTCCAAATTCCAGTTTTAAATAAGTTTTATTAAGATTTAAAAAAAAAACTTTAAGAAGTTTGCTCTTCAATTGAACATTCTTGTTTCGTTTCTAGGCGTAGCAGAAGGAGATTAAAATATTCAGACATAAATGTGTAATGTCATGTAAATCACCATCTACGAGAATCGTCGACACCATTATTGCTTTTTTGCTTGTTCTATTTTCCTAAAATGCACTACCAACAACTTGAGATATAATTTCCTAAAATAATTAAAGAACTAATTTGATTGTAAACAAAGAGTTTCAAACTCTCTTTAACAAGTTCAAAAATCAAATAATTATAATTCTTTCTTTTTATTGTTTATTTCAAACAACCAATCATCATTATCATAGACAATCGTTATATTTAACCCTTTGAGGACGGGATTACTTTTCAAAAAGATCACATTCTCGAAACTTCGAAATAATATCTCTGCTAGAAAGAAGGTGTATCAGAATACAATACATATGGTCATGTAGCATCACATCGATGGTGACGAACCCATGGTCTGCACTAAATGTAGATCACCACTATATAATGAAAGACATATTCAAGTGCGTTGCACGTCGATCGAGAACCGTTGCCTATATATAGGCTTCCCGTCCTCAAAGGGTTAAGCGCAAAGTTATTTTTTAACTCTTTTATTGTTGCCTCGTTCTGTTTGTTTCCGTTCTAAAACAAAACTTCGAATTATTTCACGTTGAATATAGCAGAGCTTACTTTCAATAAGTTCTTCTACGTTTTCAGATTTTATCGAATTTATCAAATCCATAAAATCTGTCCTATTCATATACTAAAATATATTCGATGATAGATTTGTTAAGTACAAAACATATTTTCTTACATTCTTATCGACATAATCGTTCGTTGAATCTCTAATTTTATTCATTTCATTATGAATTCTTGATTTCCTAAAAAATTAAAGTGAAACTATTTACATAAATGTGCAGAAGATATAGATATAATTAATATACCATGTGAGAACGATTAGAAAATCGTCAATCTTTACATGCTGTTCCACAAAGTGAATATCATCACGAACATCTCATGAAAAAGACATACCCAGGTCGAGCAAGCACTGTCGTAAACGGCTGTATATGGAGAAATATGGTAATATACGGAGAAAAAAAAACGGTTGTTTATGGTCCTTGTATACAGAGTCCGTATATGATCTCCGTTTTGCTCCGTACTTCTCCGCATACGATCGTGTATATCCGTATATGGTCACGGCTTCAATTGGTTTTAGTATCATATTAATCAATATTTTAGTTAGAAAAAAATCGATTAAAATCAGATATTTTCTGTTTTCTTACGTAGAAAGTCTTTTTTGAAAAAAGAAATAAAGTTCGAACAGGGCGGCCCAACACAAGTTCAGACCCGCCAGGCCTAGAAGAAAAATCTCTCTGGACCGGGTCGTTGGATCGGGTGTGAGTGTTAGTGTGGATGCGTGTCGATCAGGGCACACAAAAGATTTGCATTACATTGACACCCACACCTACATATGTGTAATGAATTGTCCTGCGAGAAATTATCCTAAAATCTTGTATGATTTTTATCGCTTCCTTTCAGAGATGAAGATCTTGATTGTGAAGTAGTATCGGCAGTGAGTAAACCACCATGGTCTTTCATTATTTTTGTTTAGCAACCAAAACAGTTTGTGCCATTAAAGAAAAAGAATTTAGTAGCTGATAAAACGTATTGAAAGAACATTTGATTGCCAATATGAACTACAAGTGTGTAATTGCCACTTCTGACGATGTCTGCCATCTATCGATCATAATAATCTCTATTTTTGCTTCTCTAGAGGTCATATATTCCTATTTAATGGTAACTCTAAGCCGATCGTAATTCATCTTTTCTTCCTATAAAAAGGTTTACTCGTTCTTTCTGTCCTTTCTTTACGTACGCATGCGTATGTGTGTGCGTCTATGTGTGTATATGCGTGCGTATATATATATATATATATATATACAAATACGTATATAGGGTCATATCGTCAACTATCCAAAACTATCGACCCGTGATAAGCTATGTTCGTTTATGAGGGCATTCTTTTTAATTGATAAAAATCTTGACATTTTAATTTTTTGTTCTTTTTTTTTGATTTTCCCTTCCCCGGTGATTAACCATGGAAATCGATTTCGCTCATTCACATAATCCGACTTTATTTGGTTCATTGTCAGTTTCCCCACCGACATCAATGCTTGATTCATTTTCTCCATTACTTCATTTAAATGACGATTTTTTGGATGTCTTAAATCCAACAACAACGACAACAACAACAGATGATGATGCAGATGATTGGATGAAACCATTATTACTTGATCAATTATTTGAACATGATTTTTTATCTCCACAATTTTCAAATGATGATATTGAAATAAAACAAGAAAAACAACAAGATGATGAGAAAAGAAAACTAACAACATTAAATAATAATTGCTCATTTATTATTGATGAAAAATTTCTTTCAAATAATTATTCTCAACAACAGCATGAAAATGATTTTTTTGATTTTTTTCAACAACATTCATCGGAACAACGTTTACCAACAACAACAACGACACTTCGTCTAATACATCAACCAAAAATTGAACCAGCTGAATTACCAACAACATTATATCTTAATGGAAATGAATTACAATTTCATCCAATTGTTACAACTAATAATACAATGGGACATACATATACAAGTAAAAACACTTTCATTAAAAAACTAAAAGTAAACTTTTGACTCTTGGAATTCTTCTTTTTTTAGCAACAACATCATCACCTATGCCGTCTGTTCCAATACAACCGTCTGTACCTATTGTACCAGCTAGAGTATTAAAAGGAAAAAAATTTAAACGCGGTGGTCGAGTTTCATCTAGAGCGTAAATTGATTCTTTGTTTTTATTTTATCGACAGAAGTCATTCATTTCGCTCCTTATCTTTAGAACATCAAGAAGTCATGCAGCAACTAAACGACGATTAAATTCGACAGCAGCAGGTAATCATTTCTTTTGTATAATAAAAGGTTTTTTTTTAGATTAAATATTAAATAAAATTCTCATTTTGTATTTATTAAATCTTTTTATTATTCCTATAAGGGAACGTTCCCAAGTGTTCGATCGAAATTATTCTCAGATAATGCGCTATGATGAACTGCACCAAAGTCTACGATAGTTTAGTTATCTGAACCTTTATCGTCAACAATACTAGTTCACTATGAAAATTTGATTGATTTTAGTACGTCAAATCCGAAGATAGCATTATATGAAAAATGACTACATTTTTTTTCATTAAAAAGTTTTCATGATTTATATCTTAGAGTATATTGAGAGCCTTATTTATGCAAATTTTCAAGTTGAAATTCAGTATTTCAAGAATAAAGACTCAGATAATGGAATCATCTTAGACTTTCACATTATTCATCATAGCCTATCATCTAACCATAGTCTCGCTCAATTAGCGATTGGATATTTGAGTACATTCTCTCGCTAATATGTTTTATTTGGAAAAGAGAGTTTTAATAAAATTGCGTAATTTTTTGCTGATGACTCATTAACCATTTTAGAATCACCAATTATTATTCATCAAAATAATTGCGAAATTTTACATTGATATTTCTTCATAGTAGAAATAGCAAATAAACTAGTACAGAAATGTTCACACAAACAAAAAATAAGCATATTATTTAGAATAATAATCAATAGGTTCCATGAAAAATTCTAATCTTTTACAAATTATGAAAGTTTAATATTACCAGTACTCTTTTCTTCAATAAAATCCAGGATTTTGTCAAAGTCGAGAACTTCTAATCTATGAATAATTCGTTACGTATTTTCAATACATAAATCATTTAAAATATTATCCGATTAATTTAATTTTAATTATATCTATATTAAATATACACGTTGAATTTAATCTTGCGTTTCATCTGTAAAAGATGATAATGTCTTATTGAATTGAAGAACAATACCTCTTCCTTTTAGCTACTTTGTGCTATAGAATGCTGCCTAGTGACAGATTCAATAGCCTGATATCTTCTTTACTGCTACGGTTCGCTGTAGCTCTAGACAGAAGACTTGCTTAATACAGAGTTGCGCTTTCTATCACATACTAATCAGAAGAGCCAGTGTATACCAGCAGGTAGTCAGTCTATTTATCGAACGGGTGATTTGAGACAAACAGTTGTTAGTATTTTGTCCAGGATCATTCATTCCTATTGTATTAAACTTTGCACACAGTACCTTGTGGGGTACATTTTGAATAACCTAATCATTGAACCATGACGATTTATTTTGATATGTTAAAAAAAAATCATATTGTATTCAATAATTTGAAGAAAGAACTTTGCATTTTTTTTTTTTACTTAATTAACTGAGTGAAAGAAAATAATCTGAAAATTTTGCTACCTTATCATATTAATCTAACTTTCTAATAAAAATTTCTTATGCATCTCAACAGAATACGATATGAAGTAATATTAGACAATAATACTTACACAAGAGTATTTTGTTTTTATGATTTTAAAATAAAATCAATCTCTCGAGACATAATAATAATAGCATAGAAAATTTATTCGCATGAATAATTCGTAATTTTTTTTGTTTTTTTGATTATATACTAAAGCAGATATTCGATCTTTTGTTTGGTCTATTGACATTTCAGTTATTCTATACTTTAATCAATCATTTCATATTTGTCTTCAATTTGAATTATTATCAACATATAACATTTAGAAGTCTTCTTTTCAATTAAGAATTCTAAATTTTTTTTTTGTATTATTTTCTTTCGATAGAACCCAAAGCAAGTGTTGTTATAATAGCAGAAGATGCAACACGAATAGATTCAAAAACAACAACATTAGGTTTAAGTTCAACAGGTTCATGTTCAAATGATACAGATTTATTAAAATCATCATCATCGTCAACAACAACATCTACACGTTCATCAACTCGTCGTCGTGTTAAATCAACACCACGTGAAGTTATTTTATTTCGTAATGGTACATTTGTATCAAAAGAACCAATAACAAAACAACAAACAACATCAACATTATGTTTTGAAACAACAACAAATAATAATTGTCCTATTCCACCACCCCCATTACATCAACAACAAATAACAGCAACTGGTTTACAAGCAGCTGCACAAATTGTTGCTTGTAATGTACTTCGACAAGCAACATTAAATGGTAAAATATAAAAGAGAAAAGTTGTTAAGTGATGAAATCGACTCGTCTTATCGAAGTTGAGTTTATTATTTTCTCGATAGTAAGTTGTCGATCGAATTGTTTTTATGAAAAATTTTCTTCTCTCATCTTCAGTACTTTCAATTTGCATTATATATCAAATGTAAGATCTTTCTTTTCTCCATCAAATGGTCTATATGAGTATAATAAAATATTGTTCATTCTCTTTTTTTCTTCAGATGATACTATCTATTCGTATATATAGTTTGCCGACAGTCATGACAATACTCTAGATAATAATATTGTTGCATTGAGTTTCATTTGTAGGCAAGACACTTAAGTCAAATGCATAAAGATCATGAGAGTCAAAAGTTGTCTTTTTTTCCACTAATGTTTAATCGGTTTTGGTCTGAATAAATAGGCTTTCTATCGAAAATCATAGCGTGTTTTGAACAAGCATTAAACAACTAGGTCGATTTTTATATGTCACAAAGTCCTCTGACAACTTTTATATTCGTTCAAATATTCAGTCCTGCTCTAGCTCTGAGTTGTTACATCGAAAAATAAAGTCAATCAAAGCATTGTTTTTATTATTTATTCATTTATCATTTTTTTATTTTCCTATATTTTTAAAAATTTAGAAATGACTTTTCATAGTCAAACTAAAATTTGACGTAGTTTTATTTTTCGATGTAACTCAAAGAAAGCTTAGGACTGAGTTTTCGGACGATAATAAAATTTGTTACAAAATTTGGTGACATATAAAGATCAACCCAGTTTATTATGCTGATTCCAAACATATCATATTTTGATAAGACATCAGATTATTCTGACCAAAACCATCAAATATCAGTTAAGTAAAGCAAATTTCGACACTCATAAAACATTGTGCGTTGTTTAGCTTTTAAATATCATATATTATATATACAAGCGAACAATGTCATCTAAAAGAAAAAGAGACAAAACAATATTTTGACATCTTCTTACATAAGTCAAATAAAAGAAGCTGAAGAAGGAATACAAACTTTTTATATAAATACTGCACAGCATAACATTCTAGAGGATCGATAAAAATCAAATTTAAAATTAGCTACGCACAACTGTAATGAAGTCTAATTCGAACAGTAATAGACTTCTGATATCAGAATTAACAATCGAGAAAAATAAAAAAAATTCAATTTCAAGAGAGGAATCGATTTTTATTGCTTAATTGAGACTTGTCTTCTCTCTATAAAACATAAACAAAATAAATAAAAATTTCTATTTTAAAGATGCATTAATTGAACAATTAATAAAACGTGAACCAACAAATACAGATGATGATTTTCCAATTTATTGTTATTCAAGTCCATCATTATCATCATCATGTACAATGACAGCAGCTATGGATGAATATGAAAATAGTTGTTCAACAACATTAAAAATTCTTGGTTGTAATACAACAACACCATTACATTCAACAACATCAAATAATACGACAACAACAACTATTGAATTACTTACATTTGCTGCTTTGCAACAACAACAACAACATCAACCACAATTTTGTTATATTAAACAAGAACCAGGTACAACAACCACCACGACAACATTTCTTCTTCCTCGATTACTTCCACAGTGAATGTATGTGTGTGTGAATGTGTGTGCGTGTGTGTGTAGGCTCATTTGTTTTTCGTTTATGATGATAACAAACAACATAACATATATAAAATGAGCAGTAGCTACGTCGAAACGGGCTTTAATAAAAAAAAAAAGGAAACTGCTATTGTTTTTCTTTTTTCTTCTTTGTTTTTCATCTACTTTCAGTTGTTTTCTATGATTTGTTTTTTTCTTTTTTCCTTCTTTCTTTCTTTCTTGTTTGTTTGTTTGTTTGTTTGTTTGCTTGTTATTTCAGTTCACTGACACACATGTGTGTATGTGTGTTTCGTTTGACTGAAAATTTACTTTCACTGTTATAGCTGTATTACTATGGCCATCTGGTTTTTTTTCTATTTGGCTACTGTTGTTGTTGTTGTTAAAACGAAAACAAAAAAACATTTCACGAGAAAAAAATACTGCAGGGACTATCGAATTAAGTCTTTTTCTCTTTTTTTTTGTTATTCTTTTAGTTTTTTTTTCTATTGATTTAGATTAATATATAACGACGAGTTAATTTCAAAAACTATGATAAGGTAATTTTATATTGACATAAATTATATACGATGGCAATAGCAAGAAAGGATTTGTTATTTACAGTCAATAATATTCAAATTGTGAGTTGATTATTATATGAATTATTGAGTCATACTATGTAAATTTGTTTCCAGTTTATATATTTAGATTTATATGAAATTTTTCATTTTGATTTCTACAAACAATAAGTTATGTTGTTTGTTTTTTGTTTGAACAAAAAAATTAATCTATAATTTTGAATCGAGTGTTTAATTCTAATTCAAGCATATATCCATATTCACAGAAATCAGTATATTGGTGTAAAAAAAAAAATTTTTTTTAATAAAAAAAAGAAATATGATTACGTTTTCTTCATAAACTGAGAAATGCTTCAACTTCTAATACAACAAATATAATTCATAATTTTATGTATTTCTTCATATTCCTATATTAATCTCAGTACACATCGGAATGGAAGAATATTTTTTATTTTGATAATTTTGACATTCTAAATATATGATTTATTTCGAATTATGAATAAATATTTATTTTTCTTGATTATTATAGATATGGAATCCGTAGAATGTATTTTATGTCATAGAAAATTTGATGATACAACTCTTCTTACACTTCATCATGAATATGAAACATGTTATAAAACAAATTCTTCATCACCATTAGAAGCAAATTATTGTTGTCCAATATGTGATAAAATATTCTATGATCCTCTAGTTCTTCAAATTCATGTTAATGAAGATCATGATCATAGTTCTGTACATAGAACCACAACAACAACAACAACAACAACAACAGCATCAGATAGTTTATATGCACAAGAATTAGAAAGACGTGAACGAATGAAAAATCAATATCGACAACAAGCAACTTCAGAAATATCTTATGAATATTCACAAGAAGATGAGGATGCTCAAATAGCTCGTATGTTACAAGAAGAAGAAAATGCTCAATCATTTGAAGAATTTCAAGTTAATTAATAAGAATATAAAAAGAAAAAATAATTTCACATTTTCCGTTTTTTTTTATCTAGAATCGACATGGTGGAAGTACACGAACATTTACTGAACGAGCTCGATGGAATTTAGATAAAGTTTATAAAAAAAGATTTATCTCACAAAATCAATATGAAGAATATAAAAATAAATTAGATGAAATGATTGAACAACCAATAGAAAGACTTGAATCAAGATCAGCAGGTGAACAATTTAAAACCTCGTTTTTTTTGGTAAAACATAATCTAAAATGAATGTCGAAGTATATGAAGTAGAAATTTATATTCATCTTCAATAAATCATGAGAGGCATTAATCAGGGACCCTCACAGACATTGTTGATATATAATAAAAGATCATATATCAATAACATCTTGTCATAATATCTTAACTACTTCCTTATTGCGTTTCCAGAGAATTAAGTAAACGGATGGGGAAAAGATGTGTTCCAAAATGAAATATAACAAGTTTTTTTCTTTATAAATTAGGAATTATTCCAATCCTTTCACGTTTACCAATGGGTAATCTTGTAGAGCGTTGTTTATGTCGATCAGGCTGTGATCATGTAAGTGCAACATGGCTTGACCAAGGTTGGGCATGTGGTTATAAAAATTTTCAAATGTTATTTTCGTCACTTCGTCATGATCCTCAATATTCAATGTATTTATTTGGTCATGAAGCAACGAATCAAACAAATCGTGATATACCATCTGTTAGTTATTTGCAAAAATTAATTGAAACAGCTTGGACAGCTGGATTTGATAGTGATGGTCGAGCACAATTCAATAGTCATTTAATTAATTCTACTAAATGGATTGGACCTACAGAAATTATGGCTTGTCTTGCATATTTCAATATAAAGTAAAAATTAAGTTTCTTTATTTTTCTTTTTGTATAATATAAATTTCTTTTTTGTTTTTATTTAGAACAGAATTATTTGATTTTCATCAACCAAAAAATATTGATAAATCAAATGCTTATAAATATTTATTTGAATGGATTAGAAGATACTTTCAACAACAGCAAGAAAATAAAAATAGTGTTATTCATCCACTCTATTTACAACATGAAGGTATATCCAATTATAATATTATTTAGGTTTTTTCTTTCGTAATTTAATTACTTTTTCTTTTTCTGCTAAATTTATTCATACAATGAAAAAAAAAAAAAAAAGTTTGATAAATATTAAAATTTCTTATTTACATCATATTACAATCGATATTTTTTTGTTTGTCTATTTCAAAGAATTGAAATTTAGAAACAACAGTAAATGAACATAATTATTTGCTAATTCAAAATCGAATACAATAGAAAATTGATTCATCTAATAATTTAAAAACTGAAATGTCAATTTAATAAAAAAAAAAAAAAAAACCATCAAATAGAAGAGTTCATTTACATACATTCGAAAGAATACATAAAAAAGATTTTCTATATATACTTTTCTAATTTTAAATAATAGCATGACCTTCAACAGTACATATAATTTTTAAAATAAATAACTATTGAATAAATTATTTTCTATTTTAGATTTGTACTCTTTCTGTTAGAAAAAAAAATATTGAAATTCATCTAACACTTTTTTTAATACGTTTCGAATTAGTTTTTTAAATTTAATATAAAACGTTTTTTATATTTATGAAAATAACAAAGACTTATTAGGCATGATAATAAGAACTTCTATATGTTCTATTCGAACAGTAGTCTTATGGAATTCATTAGAAATTTTGAATTTAAATCACAATAGTTGTCTCTCTACTTTTTAATTAATCATCAATCTGCGAAAGTTTCAAAACTATAATTTCTAACTAATCCATGTTATCTAACTCATTAGTTTAAAAATTATTGAAGATTATATTTTTAATAGGTCACAGTCGAACGATTGTTGGTTATGAACAATTTCATAATGGTCACATTCGTCTTCTAATATTTGATCCAAGTACACCAAAATTTAATATAGAAAAATTCTGTAAAAATCCTTCTCAAGAAGCACATATCTTTCGACGAAGTTTACAATCATTTCAGAAACCAGTTTATCAAATACTTGTTGTAAGAGGATTACTCACACCAGATGAAAAAGAAGTAAAATATTTCAAAAAAATTAAACTTCAATTCTTATTTCAACCTTTTTTTTTTTTTTTACAGGCTGCTAAAAAAGTTCATTCTACAAAAGTACCAATGCCAAATGCATGATTATTAATTGACAATTACGAGAGTATACTTTTTATTTGACTTCTTTGGTCGACCAATACTTTTTAAACAATCAATATATAACTTATAGACTATTCTTAACAAACAAATATTGTTCTGGTTTTTATTCTAGATTGAATCTTAATGTTTCTTGCTGTTATTGCTTTTACAATAAGTTCATTTCGCCATTATATCATGTTTAATCATCAAAATTTCGTCGAAGAAGATAATGAAGATGATGATGAAACAAGTAAAATTTGTTTTTTTCTTTGTTTATGATTTGCTTATCCATTTCAAAATATAATATAGTTCACTGTCTTTTAGAACACGTTTTGAGAGGAAAATCATAGAGAATTACGTTTTTCAGCATTCAAAAGAGAAGATTCGAAAATATCGAAATTTGGTTTGTTAGTCATTGATCAATCCGATGAATTATTAGTGGAGACTTTCGAAAACGATATTCTTAAGGTATTTTCCTTTCGATTTATCCACAGACAATATTTTTAACTTGTTCCATTCGAAAGCTTCGTTACATAGAGGTTGATTATGGAATCTCGAAAATATTGAGATAATAATGTTATATTGTTTCAAGTTTAAAAACAAATATAATCATTCTATTCAGCATGGTGAATTATCCCTGCCTAACTGCGTTTTCGGATGATCACAAGTCCATTGACTGAAATCGAAGGCCTCGGGAAAAGTGTTATAAATGTCGAACATAACATACTAGGAATGTTCGCCTTGCGTAGGTCGGCTGAGAAGAAGTTTTCTATTTGATTGATCTTGTTAAAAATTTAAACTTAAAAGAAAATAGTTTCGTAAGATCTTTTTCGAAAATCTGCACCAAGAACTCACCTGACTAGTCCATTGCTGATCAATCAAACTTCGATATTCTCAAGTCTTACTTCTTGAATGACGCAAAATTGCAGATGTGTGATGATGTTTATTTATGTATCTATTTAGGTAATTCAAATATTTTAAATAAAATTCGTTCAATTGTAACATATGTTTGTACTTATCTATGGGCGATATCTTTTATTCTACTTATATTCCTTCTGTATGCATCTATTCGTGGTCCATTCAACATTATAAGCAGTTTTAATTCAGGTAAATTTGAAATATTGAATGATTTATTTATTTATTTATTTTAAGTTTTGTTTTGATAGTAAACTAATAATGAATAATAATAGTTGATTGAAAAGTAATTTGACAAAATTGAAAAGATTCGATTCGATTCAAAATCTCTCTCTTGAAATTCTGATTTAGAAGTCATGAGTAGATTTTTTACAAGTGTGAAAATTAAATTCGGACAGAGAAAATTTGACATCATTCTTTTTAAAGCAGTAGATTACTTTATTGCATACGTAATATTATCGCTTCTTTTTTTTTTACATAGAATTAAAGATGATATTGTTCTCTACAAAGTAATTTAAGAATTAAGATTTTCATGAATGACCGAGTTTACTTTACAAGTCAAGTTTTCTATAGATATCGAGAAAATTGGCATAGTATCTCGTAAAGACTCAAAAATGAACAAGCATTTGATCACTCGCTATTTGATTTTTCTTCTATTCATTGTTGCTAACGTAAATAATAAGACTTGATGATTGATTAATTGTGATGTCTATATGCCTTTTTTTGTTTTTATTTCGTTATAAATTTAATTTGATGAAATGAAAAGAGAATGACAAGTGAGACCTAACAAGAAAATAAAACATCGAAGTCAAAAAAGAAGAACATAAGAAAAGAAATGAATCTTTATTCTCTTTTGTTCGCCATCTGTTTTTCTAGTCATTGAAAAATGAAAATAATAGAGAAGTGGGTATGAGTAGATGATGAATTATAAGATTTATTCTATAGGTTTTATTGAGATAAGTGATTTCATAATTCTATATTTATTTATAAAAAGTTGTTAGTCTAATCCCTATAGGATTAAAATGTGAAACACGATGTAGCTACTGTTACTAATTATAGAGAAATTCTTTTTTCTATCTATCTTGAGACACATCTATTCCCCATTCTTTTACTTAGACATTTAGAAATGCAATAAGGAAATAGTTAAGATATTTTAATGAGACCTTATTGATGTACTGTCTTTGATCATATATTAATAAAGTCTGCTGCGGTCTATGATGAGCCGTCTTTTATGTGTCTATCACGTCTGTGGAGGAAATGGAATCTAAGTTTCTATTTCTATTCTTCAATGATTCGTTTAGGTCGTGTTTCAAAACATGAAATTGATAATGGAATACTGAAAAATATTTAAAAAGATTCTTTTTGAAAGAGTTTTCTATCATTATATTCATTTTGTTTAATTTGAGAATATTTTCAATAGAATTGTACTTATTGTCGTTGAATACTCTTAAATATTTTGAATATATATGTATTATTTTTGACATTATTTATCTCTTTGTGTTTTATTGAGATAAACAAATTTATCATAGAAACAATAGAGAACTTTGCAGACAAATAAAATCTTGTGATTTTGAAACATATACAATCTATTGTCTTCTTCTTGTCTTTATATGACAAAAATATCTTATTGTTTTGATTTTTTGAAGAGAAAGTGTTTGTACGAATTAATATTCATTTTTTGTTTTTATGAAAAAAACCAATATAACAACTGAGAGTTCTAAGGAGGAAAGAACAAAATAGAAATAAAGTTTCAGTTTCTAAAACACTATTCTTTTTTAGCTATATTTTTATCATAATTTGATAATAGTATAAAAATTTTTCAATATCAAAATAGTTTAAATAAGATCCTTCTATAATGAGCGACATTCCTGATTAAATGAGACCTTTTAGAGTGCTACAAAATAATATTGAATAGTTGTTGTGTTTTTTTTTTTGTCTTACTAATAAAATATAAATATAACTGACATTCAAATGGTAATCAAACAAAATTAGAATCATTAATCTATATTTGAAACAAAACTCATTCATTTTCTTCTCGAAACATAAAAAGTTAATAGAAACTGTTAAAGATTCATAAATAAAAGTCTTTTGACAATATATAATTGAATAATCGAAATGGTAGGGAGAAAGAAAAAGAATAGATGCGTCTTGTTCTCACTTCACTCTCGTTCTGTCTATGTTTTCTATATATATATAAATAGATATCTGCGTTGCTGTTGCTCCTATTATTGGTTTACATCTTCGCTTACATATTTATAGTATTCTACTACACGCAACAAGACGCATTATTCCTTGTTGTCCTTTACATTCTATCATTTTGCTTTCACTGATCTACGTCAAACATGCTTAACCTCATCTTTTGTAAGTTTATCCTAAATATTTATATATATATAAATCCTTATTTTTTCTTGTTGTCATATCCGGTTCCTTGTTTTTTTAAATGTTTGATCTAAGTTTTATATAATATTCATAGTTCAACAGGTTGGAAAAAAAGAGAAATTATTTTATTTATTTATTTTTTTACTAGCAACAATGTTCTTCAATACTTTGACACCAAAATTTTATGTTGCATTAACGGGTACATCATCGTTAATATCTGGACTCATCTTGGTAAAAACAAAAATTTATTTTAAATGAAAGAGATTTTTGTTGGGTTTTATTTCATAGATATTTGAATGGTGGTATTTTAAACGATATGGCACATCATTTATTGAACAAGTTTCAATAAATCATTTAACACCTATGTTAGGTGGAACTGAATCAAATAATTCATCATTAACAAATAATGAAGCGTCATCTTTATCTATACCATCATCATCAACAATAAATGGATCAAATAGTGGTCATAATGGAAATAATAATATGAATAACTGTACTTTATCAAATGGTACAGATTCAACAATACCGGTGACTGGGACTAATGAATGTAAAGTATGGAAAAATCCATGTGCATTATTTCGTGGAGCTGAATATCAACGTTTAATACAATATAATGGAAAAGAACCATTAACATTTCATGATATGAATTTATCCGCTCAAGAACATCAAACTTTTTTTACATGTGATTTTGATGAAGGAAAACCTGAATATGAAAGTAAGTTATTTATTATTAGTAGATTTAAAAGAAGAAGAAAACAAGACATGAAACTTATATTTTATTTTATTTTATTTTTGTTCTAGTGATGCAGCGAGCGTGGCGTGAACGAACACCATCGATACGCATTCAATTTGCTCGTGATGCTTTAGAAAAAAATTCCGAGTAAAAAAAGAAACGAATTTTTTATTCACAATAATTCTCACCTATTTTTCTACATATATTAGATTTACACCAGCATTAATTCTTCTAGCTGAAGAAGAAGCAACAACAATAATTGAAGTTGAACGCTTATTAAAACAAGCATTAAAATGTGCTGAAAATGCATATAGAAAATCACAACAGTTACTTGAGCAGGGTCGTATACAAGACATTGTACATAGTAAGAAAGAATTCATTGTAAATTTTCTTATTAATTTATAATCTTTTCTATTTTTATTCTTTAATGTGTTTTTTGTTGTTGTTTTATTATAGAACGCAATACAAATATATTAATTTATGTTAAACGACGTTTAGGAATGTGTGCAAGAAAACTGGGTAAATTACGTGAAGCAACAAAAATTTTTCGTGATCTAGTGAAAGAATTTCCAATGATGTCTGTTTTTAATATACATGAAAATCTTATTGAAGTTTTACTGGCACTTCAAAATTATCCCGATGTACAGGGCGTTCTTGCCAAATATGATGGTATAAATTTTTATTTTTCTAAATTTTAATTCCATAAAATAAATTGTATTTTTTAGATATTAGTTTACCAAAATCAGCGACAATTTGTTATACAGCTGCTTTACTTAAAGCTAGAGCGGTTGCTTCCACGTAGGTTTGTCATTTAATTACAATTAAACTTGCTATTTGAAATACAAAACAGCAAGTTTATAAGTCATGTTTGCAGTGTTTTTATACTGATTTTCTATTTTCGGACGGATGATTTAATTAGAAGTACGGAAAAGCAAACATTTATTTTTGGAACTCAGTATGTGATACAGTAATTACAATGTCCAGAAGAGTCAAGCCGATCTTCGAAGAGGCGTTGGCCTCCATGCTGAATACAACATTGCATTGTTGATTAAATGTAACAAAACAGCGCTCGCATTTAGTACATTTCTCTATTATATAAACAATGTTGAAAAATTGATTCATTACTGAGAAAGCAGATAATTATCAGATATTACCGTTATATATTCTGGTTGATAGTAATCAAACGTTTTTTTTTTCTCAAGAACGTTTACATTGAAAACAAGAAAATTTACATATTATTTTGTTGCTGTTGAAAAATGAGTTTTTTTTCTGACAGAAAAATGTTTGAGAATCGTCTATGTTTCTCAACTAAAGTACATCTAATTGAGCTACAAGTTTCTTCTACTTATAGTAGAATATGCAAAGAGTGCATAGATGTTCTTTATTATTTCAAAATATAATGTACCGCTAATTTTTGCCAAAGGTTAAAAAAAAAGATTCAACTTGCATTTTTGAAGATGTTTTCATTTGAACCGGAGGAAATAAAAGAAATTAAAAAAAGAAAATGCAAGTAACCAACATATTGTCTAATATCCGCGCCAGATTTGAAGAGAGATGGGCATACACTCAGTAACTCAACAACAGCATCAGTTAGCAGTCAGCGGCTTGCAGCAATCGAACGAGAAGGATATCAGTCGTATTTTTATCTGATATCATTATTTTAAAATCCATTATCTCTGCAAAATATTAAAAAATGCATGAAAATGGTCTTTCTGATTCACTGTAATTCCGATTCTGAGATGTTCTTCAGATATAGAAACTTGAGATATATATAGTTCATGGCACTATTCGAGCGATTATCTTCTTATGTCTCAATGTTGGGCAAATAAATTTACGTATCTGTACGGTGAAATTCTACAGATTTCTATTGATTTTTTTTTCAAAATTTCCTTGAAACGAAACACTATTTTTTGAATGTTTTGCGAAGGTGATCGATTTTTTAAAGAATTTTGTCTTATAAAGTATTAGACAAAATGATATTCGGAGTTCTCCTTTTTCGATTGTTGAAAATTGCAGACCGCTATCTATTGTCATTGTCGACTTATTAAGATAACGTGCATCTTTCTTTAATTCTAACGCGAATACTAGTATCCGTAAATAGAAACCTTTTACCCTTGCGATTCTACTGTGTCGTAGAAGAAGCATTCAAGAATCTTGAGTAAAGCCTATCGAGTTAGTCTCAGATCTGGCTCCGCATTCGAAAAATTTAGACCCAACAAGCTCTAATTTTAAGTCTATGGTAACTTTTGCTCTATTCATCGAACTCTATGTGTCTTAAGTCTTTCAAAGTTTTCTGATGAACTGTTTTCCGAAAATACCGAAAAGTGGAGTGTTTGTTCACTTAAACTTATTTTCAGTCAAATCATATATAAAATTTTTTGTTTTTTTTTGTTTTTGCAAAATTTAGATTTTCACCAGACATAGCTAGTAAACGAGGTTTAACTGCAGCAGAAATGTCAGCCGTTGAAGCTATTCATCGAGCAGTAGAATTCAATCCACATGTACCTAAAGTAAATTTCAATTTTAAATAAATATATCATTCAAATCTTATTGTTTTTTTTTTTTATAGTATTTATTAGAAATGAAAAGTTTAATATTACCACCTGAACATATTCTTAAACGTGGTGATTCGGAAGCCATAGCATATGCTTTTTTTCATTTACCGCATTGGCGTCGTGTTGAAGGAGCACTTAATTTATTACATTGTACATGGGAAGGAACATTTCGTATGATTCCATATCCATTAGAAAAAGGACATCTTTTTCATCCATATCCAACGGTAAAAAGAAAAAAAAAAGAGAATATATATATATATTATTTATCTTTTTTTATTGTTTGTTTGCTTTTCTAGTGTACCGAAGTAGCTGATAGAGAATTATTACCTGGTAAAGAATTAATTAATAAATTAAAAAAAAAAAAAAAACTTCAATTATTCTATTTTTATTTTAGCATTTCATGATGTATCTGTATTTCCGAAAAAAGAATTACCATTTTTTATTTTATTTACAGCTGGTTTGTGTTCAGGAACAGCTATGCTTGCTTTACTTACTCATCAATATCCCGAAATAGCTGCATATATAGCTCGTCTTTTTCTAACTTGGTTTAGTGTACCGATACAATATTTAACGGACAAAATCGAATCGATTCTACCGTCAAATCTTTATCAACAATTAGCTAAAGTTTAATTATTCTTTTTTTTTGTTTTTGCTGATTGTTAAATATGTTATATTGATGATGCTGATGATGATCTCACCTTGAATATGTATACGTGTGTCACTGCGTTTTTTGTTTTTTTTTCTCTATCTGATTTTCATCCTTCATGTGTGTATGTTGATTCGGTTTTGGTGGATGACGATAGACATTATTGCATCGAAAAATAAGAGAAAGAAAGAAAAGAAAAATATATATATATATTATGATATGTGACTTGTTTTATTTATATTACTCACGACTATGATGCAGTATAGATTGGACTTTGGCAAAGAGGGAAGTCAATAGAATTTCCTATGTAAGTGAAATTCGTGTCTTTCGTTTTCAGTCTTAGATAAAAAGATTAAACAAAGACTATTGAAAATATTATTGAAACAATAGTAGAAATCGTTTAATTGGTTGTTTAAGTTCATCGAAAATTTGCAAATATACTTGATATTGCATTTCAAACAGCTATGGCCGATGAAGATCTTATATCGGATGCTGAAGAAAATTCATTTATGAGTTTTTTTACTTCATTTGGTATTCATATACTAATGATTATTATTGTTATTATTCTTAAATGGCAATATGGTAATATTTTAAATTTTAAAACAAAAACAAATTCTTTTTTCTTTATATTTATCTTTCAGATCGCAATCGATATCGTTATCCGAAAGGACCACGTGATTGGAGACATATAACAGATGCTATATCGTATCATAGAAAAAAACGTGAAAATTTATTAAATTTAGTAAATGATTATCCCGATACATGCACAGTTATGACTCATACTGGTCGTTTGGTCTTATTGAATAATTCGACATTTATTAATGAAATATTTATTGGACGTGCTGATTTAGTTAGTAATAAAGTTGATAATTATTTAGAAAATCAATTACAATATAAAGAAGGAAAACATATTCGTACAGGTATAATAGGAAAGAAAGACAAAAGTATTGGTTTTAGAAACTTATCTTTTATTATCAAAAATATTTCATTTTACTTTTCGTTCAAAGGAATAATAATATAACTAGAGAAAATGATTAAGAATTGTTTGTTTTGAATGACCTAGAATAGAATATAGGAAATCGAAATCAAATAGGAAGTTAAAGAAAATATAATTGATGATAATTTAATTGATATTATTGATTTATAAATTTTAAATTTAATTATTTCTAATGAAGATGTATTTGTTAATAATGTTCTTTTGTAGAATAAAATTTATTTTTATGAAGAAAGAAGAAGAATATTGAAAATTTTTCATTTTTCTGTAGTCAAGTTCGAGCATTTTATTGTTTGTTTTGTTTACGAATTTCTAGAAGAAACATTTAATCCATCCAGATACAGTTAACTTAAGCAAATATCTTCTTATTGATCACCTGAGTCATCGATCTGTGACCTCAGAAGATACCTGATAAGAAAGCCTTTTATTAGTATTTAATGATGTCAAATAATAAGCAGATGTATTCTACTCGATAACCTAAAATCAGTTTACTATTAACAAATATTTGTTTTATAATATCCACAGATGTTCTATGACTCATAAATGATCGGCTTAAAGAAAGACAATCAGCTGTAAGTATTCTCAGATGTATAAAATTCAAAAGAAATTAACACAGTCATTCTAAAGGATGTTCAAAACGTCATGACAATTTAATAAATACAGACAACTGGATTACTAGTCAAGCTTAATCAAAAGCCTCGTTCTTATTTGTAGTAGAAGATTAGTAAGTTTTCATTTGTAAGGAATACGTTTATCAACGGTATAGAAGATGTAATACTTTTGGTTCTGGTTGAAAAATTAGGTTTTTTCGTGATATCTACTCGAATTTCTATGTTTAATATGAATTTCAGATCATTTATGTTTTTTATCGTAATTTTCTAAACACTTGTTTCGATATATTCTTATGAAAAGAAAGCAAGAAAGCCGATAATAATGTCAAAATAAGTTTAAAAATATGGTTTAATACATTCGTTTGCATGATTGTTAAAGTTTTCGAAGAGTCGTGTATGACGTGCTGTGAAGAAATACATCAATGCTTTGATCATTTTAAAATATATCAAACAAATGACTAAAAACCAGTTAGCATGGTAAAAAGTCTAATTTTTAAATTGTAGTCGAGAATGTGATAATATTTTATACTGTTGATGATCATGAATTTTTTTAATTAAAAAGTACGAGTCTTCTATTTCAAATAGACAAAAAAGATTTTGATTAAGCTTGATGAATAGCGGAGTTCTTTATATTTACCAAATGTTCGTGACTTTTTTGGAATACCCTGCAGTTCTTCTCGATTTTAATATATCTTGATTTATATCAATTATGAAATAAAAAAAAGTTTCATAGTTAATGCGATACTAACGGATGATTGGAAAGGTTTTACACAAGATGTTTGTGCACTTTTCATTTGCTAAAGGTCACGACCAGAATTTGAATAGGGGCTTAGGAATATTGTGTCCTTTTTTTGTTTAACGCTTTACCTCCCATGGTGGTTTCAGAAGAGCCACTGATAAAATAACTTTATAAATCGAGTAGTAAACTCTCGAATATGCCAATGGTGTGGCCTAATCCACCGAATCTCCTGTTCGTGGGGTAGGACGATTTGATTGATCTAAAAATCATACGGTGAAAAAAGGAAATTGAATGACATCATAAGACTCCATTTTCTGTCTTTGACCACATTATTGATGGGACAGAAGTAAAATGTATCTCGTACTGTTAAAGTTATAGGAAAAACGCAACGAGTGAACCGATTAAAATTAAGACCAAATAATACATTCCTTTTTTTTTTTACATCTATCGTCAAATTTAAGCTTATTTTACTGTGAGCTATTTTATAATGTCTGAAGGAATTTAGCTCATCAAAAATACTATTTCGAAATCTCATGACTTGAGGTTTATAATGCATGTATTAGCTTTGTTCTTGATTACCTTCCATCTGCCTAAGAGTGACTATATGCTCAATATTGTTCCTTAGTATCTTGAAGAGTTCTCTACAAATAATATCTTGCGAGTTTTCAGTCTCGTACTTCATGTGTTTTCTGTGATCGTTCTACAAATGAGTCAAAAATGACCCAATGAGGGGTAAAAGGTTAAGATTAATGAGAGATTTGTTTGAAAGACTTGAAAACTTATTTTTTATGGTAACCGAACAGGTTTTTGTTTACCTTTTAGGACTCTTTCCGAATATGTTGACAATCGTCCGAATCGGTCGTGTTGTGAAGCAGACACTTCTCTATGAAATGTGATATTGAACTAAACTATAGATTTTGCTCAACTGAGACTGCGTGCATGTTTCTCAAGAGCCCCATTGAACGTAAAACGGTTGTTGATTTTTCAAAAGTGAGTATTTACGAAAAACGAAAAGTCCAGTGCTTTGTCTAAAGACAAAAGGAAAACTTTTCTAAGAACCTATGCGGAAAAAGCATCCTAGCTCATAGTTTTTGACTACTTAGTGATACTTTCTATCGGTTGAAAAGTGAATGAATATCTTATCTAAAAACTTTTCGATTCCTTGTTATCTCAAAGATTATCTTACGCATTTGAATATTCGTCACTATGAAAATCTCATTCAAATTGAATCCAATGATATTTTTAAACCTATTGAAAAATTTATTTATTTCTTCTTATAAGCTCCATTATACTGAGTCCCATTGCTACCCAAGAAAAATATATTATTATATTTATTAGGTATTGTATTTCGTCATCAAGATCATAATGCCCAAACAATTCATAAAGCACTTGTCAATTATATTAATAATAATCTTATTAATAAACGTCTTGATGTACTTGTACAAAAACAATTACAAAATTTTAATCTTTCAAAACAATTTGATGTTCGTCGTACAACATTTTATTTTGCTGTTCGTCTTCTTACCTCACTTTCATTTTCATCAACTTCAATATCAATGAATGATAAAGCTTTTGAATTATTTGAACAAAATCTATATACAATTTCCAAAGCTATTCATAAAGATACATTTCAAAAGTCTGCTATGGCTGTTCTTTCAAAATTAACTGGTGTATCTGAAACATTAGATATTAATGAAAATGTTTTAGATTATATAAAAACATGGATAAAACATCGACGTAATGAATTAAATAATCCTATAAATAATGAACAAATCGTAACATCAACAACTAAAACATCTAATGATTTTCTTGATTCAATTTTACATTGTATTGATGAATCATCACCACGTTTAGATGATGATGATATATCTGCTTGTATACTTGATATAATTATGCATGGAAGTGAAATGCTAAAAGGTGCATTATCATGGTTTTTACTTTATGTTGTGCAATATCCTGAAGAAGCTGATTTATGTCGACGAGAAGTTCGAGAAAACAATTATTCGAAATTTGAATTATCATCAGTTGAATCTCTTATTTATACAAAAGCATTTATTAAAGAAGTTTTACGTTTATCCCCTGTTGTACCTGTTGTTATTCATACAACATTAGAAGATTTTAAATGGCGTAATTATCATATACAAAAACGTACTCAATTTGGTGCTAATATTCTTGCTTTACATTATTCAAATGATTGGAAAGAAGCAACAAAATTTAATATAAGACGATGGATTGGAAATAATTTATCATCAATACCAACTCAATGTTATTCACCATTTGGTTTAGGTCCACGTGCATGTGTTGCTGAAAAATATCTATTTAATTTATTAGCGGGTATTCTTGGTGTACTTTTATATTATAATGATTTTGAGAAAATTGATCCTACACCTAATCAAAACGGAGGTACATTTGGCTTTGCTAATTTGCCACCAAAATTTTCACTTAAAGCTACATCGTTTAGTACATATTTTTAAATTTATTCATTTGGTTTTTTATGATATTACTTGTGATAAAGACTACATAAGGGGTATTTCATAAGTTTTGATCCTTTTTTTATTTAGTTTTTTTATATTTTACTAGTATTTGAAAAGTAGCATATAAGTTATTATCGAAGAGAAATCGCGCTCAATTTGTGTCAAC